TCTCCCGCCCGCCCTGCTGCCCGCTCGCCCGCCCGCCCTGCTGCCCGCTCGCCCGCCTGTGACGTCTCTCCTGCCCACCCTGCTGCCGTACCATCATTCATGCTGCCATCGGAAGCAGAACCATCACCTGCTTATCCTGCACATTTGCATTTGAATCTTAAAATTTGGACTGTATAAATTAGGATTTTGTTCATGTCCTCTGTCAGCCCATGGAGGATGGCCTACTTTATGTCTGGCTCCCCCCAAGGTTTCTTCCTTGTCACTGCCACCTCTGGCTTGCTCACTGGGGGCTTTGGGCAGGGATAATTTAAAGTGCTTTGAGACAATGTAATGCTGTGAAAATGCACTATACAAATAAAACTAAATTGAACTGAATCACACAGAAGGCTCCACCCCCTCCAGAGCCAAAAGACGGCAAGTCTCACCGCGCCAGCCCTCATCAACTATTACAGGGACACCACTGAAAGTGTACTAAATGGTCGCATCACTTCCTGGTTCAGTAACAGTAAAGAGATTGAATAGCACCAACTGAACAGGACAATGAAGACAGTTGAAAAGATAACTGGTACATCTGTCCTTCTCCTTTGGAGATTCACCACCAACGCTGCGCTTTCTGGGCCTCCAGCTTTACTAGAGATCCCTCACGCCACTCGGACAGATTGTTTTTCTCTTGCATTCTGGAAAGTTTTGGGTGCATCCAAACCAGGACCAACAGGCAGCAAAACAGCCTCTTCCCCCAGGCTGTTAGACTCCTGAATACTCACAAGCACTGAATACTCACAAGCACTGAATACTCACAAGCACACACACTCCCTCCCATCACTGGTCACTTTACAGTCTCCTTTTTGAACATATTTATTTTTATCTATTTCTATACATCTTTTGTATTTTATACCCTTCTTTTTATTGTGATATCCATTTATTTGTCTATTATGACACTGTTTGGGTTTGAGGGAGCGACATCTTTATGTATGTGAATACACTAAAAAATGAGAAAGGAAAATGAGTCTTAATCTGAAACTAAACACAGCAATAATGGAGGACTGAATCAGCAGCCATGGGCTCACAGCCTACTGCAGCGTACATACACACGCTCAATTTAGGCTCTTCCAATTCACATCAGTCACACATTTTTACACTGTGAGAGAAAACCAAAGGATCCGGAGAAACCATGCGCACAGGGGGAAAACATGCAAACTCCGCACACACAAAGCAGTGGAGTGCAGTGACGACGGTAAGCACTGCATTTGCCTCAGTACTAGGTCAGCACGACGTGTGATGCTAGTACCAACATTGCATGTTATACACATGCAATAAGATGCCAAAACATTTTTTACTGAGTAATGGGAGGCAAATCTTAAAAAGGAACCATTAAGGTAATCTAAAACATGTTTAAAAAATAAATACATAAAATATAATCAGCCTGAAGTTGAGCTCTGCACAGACTCTCCACATGTGCTAATCATAATCAGTTTTGTCCATGTTGTTGCACTCACGCATAGACAGGGCGGCGCATTTGTGACAATAAAAAAACAAAGAACTGCTCACCAAATCACATTCATGTTCATCCGAATGAAAATATTTCAATTGGTTAAAAAAAAAAAAATAAAAAAATAAAAATTATGATTACAGGGAGCAAATAACACTACAGATTTATGACCTCACCGCTTTATAAAAGTGGATGTTTTACAACAGACCCACTTAGTGGGATGGAACACATGTGTCTGTATGCGCTGCTATCCCCATACCTGATGGCCTTCTCTCCCTGCACTGCGGGGGGCTCCTTACTCTCCGTGCTGTCAGGGAGGCCATTGGTGGCTGGCGAACTGCACAGTGAGAGCTTAGGCCGGGCCAGCGGTCTGGGGGTGCCAGGCCCGTTTATGTTTCTTCCAGAACAGGAGGGAGGGGAAACAAATATTAACAAGCAAAAACTGTTAGGATGAACTATCCCCAGTCAGGGGGTGCTGCTGAATGAACACGGCCGGCAGATAGAGACGGACCCCTCACCTGTCTGTATAAGAAGATGCATTCCCTGGGAACATGACCCCATTCATCCTGCTGACACTGCTGGACCCGTTTTTCCTTCAAAGCACACAAAACAGCCCTCTAAGGCCATGTCCACGCTGCTATGATTTTGCTTAAAAACGCAGACATTAGTCCACACTACCCCAGGAAGTTTTCAAAACCCAAACACTGAAATTTTGCACTCAGAGCCACATACTTCTGAAAAGTACATTTTTGTGTTGCAGTGTGAATGAGTGAAGAGAGATTTTTGAAAATGCAGATGCTAAAAGTGCCCTGTTCGGTTTTTACTTATCACGTGGCCTTTCCCTGACTTGATCCCATTAGTTACAACCTCTCGTTGTCTGACTCATTACCTAACCTAACCAACATTCATGAAATGAGGCTTGCAAAATTCTGGGAATTTTCAAAAGTTGGAAACTTTCCATGGGAATTAATAGAAATATATGGAAATGAATGTGAATAAACTGGAAATTTGCTAAATTGCAGGTTAGTTTATAACAGGGAGTTTAAATGTAGCTGGAACTAGATCAGATTAAATGTAAATTCAGCTGAATTTCTACCCTGCACTGTGCATTCCCCCATTACATGGACAGAATTTCTAGTATCCTCCATACTACAGCAAGATTGCTGAAGCCACACTACTGCATTTGAGCCCAAGACTACATCCAGTCAAGTAAGTTTTGATGATATTACTGGGTTAAATATATTTGATCTATGGAATTAAAGTTTAACTAATAAATACTAAATAGAAATGTGTTATATAGTAGCCAGCTAGCTGGTAAATCAGATATGCTAACTAGCTAACACCATTTCATTAACAATTTAACCAATTGGGACCCAATCGCTGGACAATATGTTTATTTAGTTTAAAAACAATTCATGAGTCCTTTGACGCACAGAAATCATAAACAAATTGTCAAAATCATAAGATGCCAAACTTGACGGCACTAGCCGTGATTTAACGGTATAACCAAGTACTTGTGAATAATCGTGTGCATAAAAACACCCCAAAATAAGCATCTGCATCAAAACACACTGCTTACAAGTCATTCTGTGTTGCATTATTCATAGTTTCAAACAACAAAAAAATGCAGCATTCTATTGATTAGGAAATAATTTGCCTGATATTTTCACAGTATTCATTCACAAAAGTTTGTATATGGCTGTTTGATGTCAAGCTGAACATTTCCAAAATTTCCCAGCTTAACTTCCCATGGAAGGTTTCTAGAAAATAGCATTTTACACAGGGTGACTACTGCATATTTATGCAAAATGTTTTTGAGACTGTGTCGATGCATGAGTGCCCAATATAGGCTAATAACTACACCATGTACATTTTCTCTCATTTCAGTGTGGATTTAAAAAATAAAATAAAAACCTTTTGCAAACAATGTGAAAGTACCTGTGTGGATGGAGATCATTTCTGCTTGAAAACATTTTTAAATGAAAATGTAGCAGTGTGGACATTTGGCATGAATTCAAATTTACAGTAAACCCCCTTATCCAAAGACACTTAATGTTTATAGTCTTCACACTATGGCACCTACAGCCAACATAGAGGTGACACTGATTTAATGTTACTGTAAATATACTGATTGAGGTGAAACAAACACTGCCCCCCACATCAAATCAATTACAGGCTTACATGAGATTAGCTGGAGCTCAGTAGTTACGCAACTAAGCATTAAAGATCTCCTATAACAAAACAAAAAAAAAAAAAACACTGGACCTGTGACTATTATTAGTATAGGTGGCCTACATTCTCATTTCTAATTTCACGTTTCCCTTTTCTTAGAACATTTCAAAAGAAAATGTTACTACAATGTTCGTAACTTTTTTCTGGCTAGAATAAGTATTTTAAGAAAATACATTGTGTAACACTACGTCAATGCACTGCAATCCAATGCACTGTATATAAGCTGGAGCATTCTATAAATAAACCTATTGCTACCACAAGCCACTCATACAAGCTAGAACTTTCAAATAACACCATACAAGAGTAAAATTACAGAGAATTTACTTACTCTGTGGTGGGATAGACACAGCTGACCACCATTACATTCTGAAAAATTACAAAAATCATTTTAATTCTACGTAATTATAGAAGTATATAATTTTATGTGTCCCCTCCCTCCCTTCCAGTAACTGTCTGGAATTGGAAAACATGTCGTGCATTGTGAATGTTTTAAATCATACTGATTAATTAAATTAAGAATGAGTGATATCCATTCATACCATTTTTCTTTGTGTTCCATATTACCCTTTTGAGCACAATCAATGAAGCAGGTGGAAAAATTTCACTACATACAGATACAGTCTGTGTATACAGCAAATAAAATTTGAAATATGATACCTGAGAGCAAGACATACCTTCTCGACTCCTCTTAGGAATTTGTCTGTCCCTGTGTAGTTCCTCTTTGGTTCAGTGAGTAACTCACACAGGCGTTGAATAGTAAAGGGGATTCTGGGGGAGACAAACTGAGTGAGCTGCACTGCAAAAACCAAATGAAAACACTAAAGTCAGGCCACACCATTTCAGTGCAAAAGTGCAAAACATGCAAGCAAAACAACTGGGTATTGCCACCTTTAGAGTTAAGGGTT